TGGCTGGCTGAAGGAGGACTTCTCTGTGTTGATGGTGACATTTGCCTGCTTGAGGCGGTCCAGCACGGTGCGGAGGCGCCTGTCGTGCTCGGACTGATCGCGGCCGGTGACCAGGATGTCATCCAGATAGTGTCCACAGCCGTCGATACCCTGCAGTAGATGACTGAGCAGCTTCTGGAACGCACTGCCGCTAGAAACCAGGCTGAACGGGACCCTGGTGTAGTGCATCAGGCCGTCTGGCGTGAGGAAGGCGGTGATGTCACGCGAGTCCTCGTGCAGACGCAGCTAGTGGTAGGCCGACTTCAAGTCGATGCTGCTGTAGAGGGTGCCACAGAGCTTGGACTCCAGCTCGTCGATTGTGGGCAGTGGGTGGACCTCTGGTACGATTTGGCTGTTCGGCCCACGCAGGTCTACACAGACCCTGATCCTGCCGTCCTTCTTCCTTGAGACGGTCAGCGGGCTGATCCACTGGGAGGAGTCGATCCTCTCGATGACTCCTGCTTCCAGCAGACTGTTCAGCTCTGCTGAGACCTCCTCTCGCACGGAGAGGGGCAGCCGGCGCAGCTTGTAGGCAGCTGGTACTGCGTCCGGCTTCAGCTTGATTCGGTGGACGTAGCCCTCGATGGCAGGTAGCTCTGACGGGGCTGAGCCTGCCACCGTGTAGACGCTGTGCGAGGCTGGGTGGAGGTTGACTCCCAGGGCCTGCAGCAGGTCCATACCCATGATGGCCTCCGTCTTCTTGGTGTCCACCAGGTAGAAGTTTGTTGGCACAGCCTGATTATTGTAGGTCACCGTGGTAGGCAGCGTTCCCAGGACTGGGAGTGGCTGCTGGTCGAATCCGTAGAGCCGTGAGCTGGAGGGGCTGAACGCCACGCCTCTGAACAGCTCCTTGGCACGGTTCACACTCAGGAGTGAGCAGGTGGCACCCGTGTCCACCTGGAGGGGTACCTCCTGTGTGACGTCACCTGCAGTCACCTGGACGGTACAGGTGAGGCGTGACCCAGTGGTGGCTGCACAGGAGAGCACGTTCAGCTCCTTCACTGCCTTGTGGTGCTGTCGTTGAGCTGGCCTTGCTGGGGCTGCTCCACTGCCGCCCCTGCACCAGCTGGCGAAGTGGCCCTTCTTTCTGCAGGAGTGGCACGTCACTCTGCGGGCTGGACAGACAGCATCCCTGGGTGCGTGATCGTCACGTCCGCAGTTGGTGCAGAAGTCGCTGCTGGTGCTCTGCTGCCGCTGCTGCTGTCGCTTCTGTTGTGGCTTCCTCGTAACTTTTGCCACGGATGAGACGGGTGGGGCTGCAACTGGTTGGGAGATGGCTGCAGCCTCACGCAGGGAGTCCTCGTAGGTCTCTGCGATGCTCAGGACCTTGTCCAGAGTGAGGTCCCGGTCCTGAAGGAGCCGCTCCCTCAGGCGCTGGTGGGGGGTCTTCTCCACCACCACGTCCCGGATGAGTTCCGACTCCATTGGGCCGAACTGGCAGGTACGAGCCAGGCCGCGCAGAGCAGCAACAAAGTCCCCAGTAAACATGCCGACGTCGGCCCGACGTCGGTCCAACCTCGGCACGACGTCGGCTGGATGTCGGATATGCCCGCATGTACCGACGTCCAGCCGAGGTCAATTGCTGAGGTCCAGCCGACGTCGGACCGACATCGGCCGCTGTTTTGACCGTTAAAATAATATAAAATACATGTTTCATGTTTCATAAAGAGTAGGGTGGCCAATTTTTTTGCAAAGTACACGGAATCACCGCTCCTAGCCTCGATTCTGATGCATTTTTTCATGCTGATTCCGAATCCGTCGAGAAAAATGAAAAATTCGTAAAAAAATTTGACCCCTGAACGCCCTTAAAGTTTTTGGATAAAGTGAAAATATCGACGTCTCATTGCATAATCGAAAGCTGCGTTGTGTTTAGGCTGAAAAGTTTATATGAGCGTGAAACATTGTTTGTTGGCGTCACAATGCCGCTAAAACCAGCAATATCACTCAATTGGTTTGGCGACAAAATTCAATAATATCCGCACCCTTCGGGTCAACTTGCCTCTGATGGCGAATATCGAACTAATAGTGATACGCGTCTGCCTGTAGGTGGCAGCACTGTTCCCCAAACTTCGATTCTTTGATAAGTCATTGTGATATCATTAACACGTTTTATCATCATGTCTTCCTTGCCAAAAGATACATTAACCATTAATATGTTCGTCTGAAAGAAATTTCAAGCATCATTATGTCATTTTCCTTACCTAAACAATGATTAAAATAAGGCTTTTTCTAACCAAAAGCAAACAATCTGGGTGAAACGGCAATGCCCCAGCAATGTAAGCAACGATTACACAAGGAATTGTTTATGACAGGCTTATTTCGTTTAGTGTCATGCAGGGGATGTACCTAGATGTTCGGCGAGCCCCACCGGCAAGTGGTCGTAAAACCCTGTGACCTGACTTCAGCCCAGCTGCCGACCTGCAGTGATGTCTTTGGAAGATTATGCAAGCTCAAGCTAGAGGCGATGGCGTCGTACGGCACTGATATGTATCACGTACCAATAAAGCCCATCACATGTCTCCAATACGCGTCCTCTCCAATTGCCTGTCTGGAGTGTGTGAGACTGCCGTCCGCGGCGCCGCGGAGACCGTGTCGCTGCAGACACTTACCGGGGTTACATGAGCAAGTAAATGCGTATCAGGAACGGATTTTCCTATTCGCTCACCATTGTAGTCCGTTTGTAATGCGTATTAACTCTGCTCATGTAACCCCGAGCACTGACCTCCGAGAAGAGCGGCCCAAGTCGGAGACGGCCTTGCTGGCTGTTTTTCAGCGGACCCGACCTGTCGCCTAACTATACCGGATTCACTGCCAGCCGCAATGAGCGAATTCCCGCAGAGGAAGTGTAAACGTAGCGAGGCAGAAGGCCCACTGAAGGGTGTCTCACTCTGCCGAGCAGCGGCACAGAGCAAAGGAGCAGCGCTGCCGGTTTTTCACCTGTCCTTTCCAGTATCCCGCTGTTGCCTAGCGACTGGCCGATGTGCTAATGCCTGGCACCGAGCTGATCTGCGAGGAAGGACAAATCCTCGGGATGTTCCGGTAACTGATTCCGGTGCGCTGTCAAACAGCGAGCTGGTCCCTTCAGATTGTGCAGTTGTTAGAGTTTGACGCTTTAACGATCTTGCCTATTGTTCGACAGTTCATGATTTTGGCCACCATTGAGTCAATGCGCTGGGCAGGCAAGTAAGTGCATAACCATACTTCACCGGTGACCTGTTAAATGATGGGGTTTATTGGTCCGTGACACATCAGTGCCGCACAACGCCATCGGCTCTAGTCTACGATTGCATAATCTTCCAACGACATCACTGCGGGCCGGCAGCTGGGTTTAATCAAGTCATAGGGTCTTACGACCAAACCAAATGCCGGTGGGGCTCGCTGAGCATCTAGGTGCATCCCGTCCCGTGTATGCTATTGAACGAAACGTGTCGTACACGATTCCTTGTGTAATCGTGTTTACCATGGGCTATTACCGTTTCATCCAGATTGTTTGCTTTTACCTTATTTTACCTCATTTTTAACATTGTTTAGGAAAGGAAAATGACACACTGATGCTTGATATTTCTTTCAGACAATCAGTGGCGGATCTAGGATTTAAGTTTAGGGGGGGCAAACATTGCGCCGCCAGGCAAGTCGGCGAGAATTTCAAACGTCCAGTCTTAGGAACAAAAAAAAAAAAAAAAAAAAGAAAACGAGCTACCCCTATTTTTCTCCTCGGATTTCGGGAATTATTTTTTTATTTTTTTTTTACATTTTTGTCAGTCCGGCCAAGCCAGGGCAGCGCAAAAAAAAAAATTTGCAGCCACCCTGACTCCGGGAGATAGTTAGAGAATAGCTCACCAGCGCTATGGACGGTCCGTCCTCTACCTCCCGCATCACCTCGGCAAGACCTCGTCCGAAAGGTCCGCCCGCGCCGGTTCTCAAGGGCTTCTGTATCCGGAGACCGATAAGGGTCGCAGCAGCAGGTTCATGTGTAAATGCCCACGACCAAAGGCCACATCAGCGTACCTGCGATACTATACGCAGTCAGGGTTGCCACGTAGTTAAACGTATTAACAGTTGTTTCCGGTAAAAGAAAATGAGATCAGTCGATTAAAGGAAAAGGGCCACCTTTAACATGGGGATTGAAACTGAGATAGCCATCTTGTAGCCCGTGTCCGAAAACCAGTCTGTCTACCTCCTTACGGCCGATTTCGGCCTCCATTCGTAGTTATCGGCAATTTTAAAAGAAAATACGCCAGGAATGCGTCCTTATCCCAGGAATGCGTTCTTATCCGACAATACAGCCACCCGTGGCGAGGCTTTGGTTTTTTACCAGTCAGCTCTAACCAGCTCAGCTTTAACCAATCAGCTTATCTGACACAATCCGACGAGTCTGTCTTCTGAACGCTGATTGGCTTGAGTGTGACGTCATCGCTATGCCATCATACAGTAGGTGCCGAAGAGAGTATCAACATAGTACCAATATGTTAAATAGTTTGAAATACTTTTTCGCGAATTGTGCACTTCTGGCACCAGTTTTAAAAAGAAAATGAAAAATAATAATGTCAAAATGAAAAACAACGATATCTTCATATTTCACGAAGGTGGCCCTTTTCCTTTAGGAATCCCAACAAGAAATAGACGAAGAACAGCGCATTTGTTTTCGGTCCTGCATTTATTGATGGAATTACAATGAACATTCCTTAACCTTGGGACTAAACTTCGCGAGCTAGCAAAAATTATACAATAAGTGTTACTTTCGAGAGGAGATAAACGATGCTTCTACAGACTACATAGGACCACAGCGCAACAGCCAACGGAATCACACTGAACAGCGTTAAGTTCCCACAACATACTGAGCTTCTCCATCACCTCGCAAACCAAAAGCTCTGACTGAGCCTTTCTGTGGTTGTCCCCGTTAGATAACGGTATGGTTCATGAAAAAGCCGCGATTGGTAATCTTCTTTACGTTATTCCTCTCAGAAACCTATCTCGCACTTGTTCTCAAAGGCACGCAGTACACCGTTCTTTCTGGCCATCACTGAGTGACACAGCGGCAGTAGCTCAACCATATCGTTCACTCAACCAGTTCTATCTCGCCTGCCATGTTACAGCTACCACCAGCGCAGCTTTACTTCACATTTCACAGCGTCTGACTGCCACATTGTTTACCCATCACTAATCCCCACCGAACTCATCACTAATCCTCACCGACACCCTCTCCGGGTCAGATAAGTAGCCGGACTTATTAAGTGTCCACACCTCTCACTCACCTTCAGCGAGGACGCCTTGCACCATCCAGGAATCGCCTGACGACCTCAGACGTGGCTGGTAGCTCGGTGCGGTGTGCTTGTAGCAGAATCAGCGACTCAAGACGTTCCTCGGTCATGGTCGCGCGTATGGCCGACAGGGTGAGGTTCACTTTCGAGAAAGTGCGTTCCGACTCAGCAGTCGACACTGCACAGTGGCCCTTTTTCAGAATTAGCACGCATTAATTCCCACATTACCTGAAAGTGGTGCAAGACATCACCACGTGATCAAGGACGTATTCCCTGCCAATGCAAAGACAAGAAAAGAAACGAACTGCCCAAGGAGATTCGGCCCAACAGCGACAGGCCGCTCGGCCCAATATTTGGCGCACGTTCGCACGGCTCGCCCGCCGGCCCAGGCCGCTCCGAACGCAAGTGTGGCGAGCCCGCCAGCCGACCGCGCTGCACTGACCGCCAGGACGCCTCAGGGCGTCACGTGACCGGATCTGCAGCTGTTGCCAGCCACCGTTAATCGGCCCCGGCCGGGCAGCAACTAAGGTCAGCGCGACGCGAACAATACAAACACATAGGCGCTTTTGACGTTAGATCTTAAGCCGACCACGGGACTTGTGCGGCTTGGACATCAAACGCGACAAGAAATCGGACAGTTTTTCTTGAGCACAGCGTTATGCCTATATGACATTTCAATAAGCACATCTTATGGCAAAAGTCAAGCCACATTTAGGCGCCCACCAGGTGACACCAGCTTCGAGCCAGGTCAATGAGCTTAGTCGTATCGAATAGGAGCCACAGCCGCTCGCGGACTGAACTGGCTCACGTTATTCACCGTAGAAGCAAAATGGCGCAAAATGGCGCGATGCCCTTTGGTGGACATGGTCAGAAGAGATCGGCGATTCGAACGATGTATAATACGATATGTCCCAGAGTGTGTTACTTAACATAAAGCTTCATATGTATGCCGCCATCTCCAGTTAATAATTGTCCTGTTATTGTGTCCACAATATTCGGCAAAAGTCGTCTATTTAAGTTTATACAATGAAAATTGTGGTTTCTAGGGCTTCTACGTAAACTCAGCTTCACAGCCATGCCACTAATTTTTAATATTTTCTCACCGAAAGCCTTACAAATTGATGTTCATCTCACCCTACTTTTTAGGGTCCGCCGGTGGTGTCCGCGCGCCTCTCGACAAACTTCGATTTTGCGGTCAGTTTTACCAAAGATAATTATTTTTTAGGAGGTAAAAATGGCACCATCGGATAGTTTGGAATGTTTTGCACACGATTAGACTGCTTGTTACTCAAAAGAAGAAAAAAAATATTTTGAATTTATGCGTGCTAATTCTGAAAAAGGGCCACTGTGCACTGGTAGCGTCGCCAGGATCCTCAGCATTGCTGATACCGCTGGGAACACTGTCTTGTCACAGGCAGCGAGTGCTCTGATGGCTGTCACTGGCCGCTCACTTGGCGGAGTTCGGGACCACCGTGCCTTCCAGATGGTGAACTCTGCATCGGTCTGTCTTTCCGACGACTTGACGAGTCCCTGGTACTTTTCCCATACAGGCTTGACCTCTTCCCGCTCACTAGTGTGGTGACCCCTGACCCCACTGGCGTCTGGCGGTCTGCTGTTGACGGTTTGTTTACTTGGTTCAAGGTTTCAATAAATCGCGTTTTTTGTAGCAGTAGCAGTAGTAGCACCGCTGATGGATGATGGACTGACATTCATGGGGCGGAGGACTTTTTATCAGCTCACAACTTAATATCACGAATATGACAACCTTCTACATAGTCCTCCATTTATTTCACATTTGCTTTTCAAACACCATATTTTTAGTATTCAAGTTGTAGTTTTTTTAGGGGGGGGGGGGGCAACAAGCTATGTTTGCCCAGAGGTTTTCCGTTTAGGGGGGGGGGGGGCAATTGCCCATTTTGCCCCAACGTAGATCCGCCACTGCAGACAATCAGATTAATGGTTATTATATCTTTTGGCAAGGAAAACATGATGATAAAACGTGTTAATGATATCACAATGACCTATCAAAGAATCGAAGGTTGGGGAACAGTGCTGCCACCTACAGGCAGACGTTTATCACTATTAGTTCAATACTCGCCATCAGAGGCAGATTGCCCCAAAGGGTGCGGATATTATTGAACGCTGTTGCTAAACCAAATGAGTAATATTGCTGGTTTTAGCGGCATTGTGGCGCCAACAGACCATATTTCACGTTCATAAAAACTGTTTAGTCTAAACACAACGCAACTTTCGATTAGACAGTTAGACGTCGATATTTTCACTTTATCCAAAAACTTCAAGGACGTTCAGGGGTCAATTTTTTACGAATTTTTCATTTTTCTTGACGGATTCGGAATCAGCATGAAAAAATGCATCAGAATCGAGGCTAGGAGCGGTGATTCCGTGTACTTTGCAAAAAAATGGCCACCCTAATAAAGAGCTTCTGTATCCAAAATATCCTCAGGAAACTCAAATCTTCCTCCACGCCGCAACCCCCTGATCCGGACTGGACGGGAAACTTTATCCCATTTGAGATTGCCCGTAAGCCGAGCTCGCCCGTAGCCGGGTGCGGTGAGTGCTTGGGGGCTGCTCGGCCTATCCTTTGGTCAGGCTCAGCCCCGGCAACTCACCAGGGCCGGGCCCAGTTCATATAGAAAGGCCAGTCGGCAAGTGTTACTTTGCCAAAGTGCCACTTATCAAAGGGACACTTTGGGAAACGTTGGTGCAGGTGCGTAAGGATGTCCGTCAAGACAGCCCATATTCAGCCCAGATTCAGCCCGGATTCAGCCCAGATTCGGGACACCTCCGATCAAGCTGAAACTCGCACACAATGTAGGCCATGACATGCCTAATCCACAGTCCAAGTCATTTGGTGGCACTCCCAGCCGTTTGACCTACAGAGGTCAGCAAAGGTCACGTGGCCCAAATTTGCACAGCAGATTGTGGCCCACCCAGAAGAGCTAGAGCGCTAAAAATGGCAACAAGCGACTCGCCAGCATCTAATCTTACTTTCCTGACACTCATTTGACCTCTCAAGGTCATGCGATGACCCAAGGTCATTTGTGGGCTATGTCGAAAATACACTTGCACAGCAGTTTTCGAGTACATGGATTGACAGAATTCCAAATCAAAGCACATCATCGGGTAGCCCATAGGCCGTAGTAACTTTCCTTAAAAACCGCTTTTCGATATGTGACCCCGTTTGACCTCGGCAGGTCAAAATGTGCAAATAAACGACACTCAATACGTCGCAGCCCGGATTCAGCCCAGATTCGGGACACCTTCGATCAAGCTGAAACTCGCACACAATGTAGGCCATGACATTCTTAATCCACAGTCCAAGTCATTCGGTGGCATTCCCAGCCGTTTGACCTACAGAGGTCAGCAAAGGTCACGTGGCCCAAATTTGCACAGCAGATTGTGGCCCACCCAGTAGAGCTAGAGGGCTTAAAATGGCACCAATCGACTCGCCTGCATCTAATCTTACTTTCCCAACACTCATTTGACCTCTCAAGGTCATGCGATGACCTAAGGTCATTTGTGGGCTATGTCGAAAATACACTTGCACAACAGTTTTCGAGTAGATAGATTGACCGAATTCCAAATCAAAGCACATCATCGGGTAGCCCATAGGATGTAGTAACTTTCCTTAAAAATGGCTTTACGATATGTGACCCCGTTTGACCTCGGCAGGTCAAAATGTGCAAATAAACGGCATTCAATACGTCGCAGCCCGGATTCAGCCCAGATTCGGGACACCTCCGATCAAGCTGAAACTCGCACACAATGTAGGCCAGGACATGCCCAATCCACAGTCCAAGTCATTCGGTGGCACTCCCAGCCGTTTGACCTACAGAGGTCAGCAAAGGTCACGTGGCCCAAATTTGCACAGCAGATTGTGGCCCACCCAGTAGAGCTAGAGCGCTAAAAATGGCACCAATCGACTCGCCTGCATCTAATCTTACTTTCCCAACACTCATTTGACCTCTCAAGGTTATGCGATGACCTAAGGTCATTTGTGGGCTATGTCGAAAATACACTCGCACAGCAGTTTTCGAGTAGATGGATTGACCGAATTCCAAATCAAAGCACATCATCGGGCAGCCCATAGGCCGTAGTAACTTTCCTTAAAATTCACTTTTCTATATGTGACCCCGTTTGACCTCGGCAGGTCAAAATGTGCAAATAAACGACACTCAATACGTCGCAGCCCGGATTCAGCCCAGATTCGGGACACCTCCGATCAAGGTGAAACTTGCACAGTGTCGGGAAAAGGTTGAGTGTCGGGAAAGTAAGATTAGATGCTGGCGAGTCGATTGGTGCCGTTTTTAGCGCTCTAGCTCTACTGGGTGGGCCACAAGCTGCTGTGCAAATTTGGGCCACGTGACCTTTGCTGACCTCTGTAGGTCAAACGGCTGTGAGTGCCAACGAATGACTTAGACTGTGGATTGGGCATGTCATGGCCTACATTGTGTGCGAGTTTCAGCTTGATCGGAGGTGTCCCGAATCTGGGCTGAATCCGGGCTGCGACGCATTGAGTGTCGTTTATTTGCACATTTTGACCTGCCGAGGTCAAACGGGGTCACATATCGTAAAGCCATTTTAAGGAAAGTTACTACGGCCTATGGGCTACCCGATGATGTGCTTTGATTTGAAATTCGGTCAATTCATCTACTCGAAAATTGTTGTGCAAGTGTATTTTCGACATAGCCCACAAATGACCCTAGGTCATCGCATGACCTTGAGAGGTCAAATGAGTGTT